ATGCAGCCTAGAACTGTGTTGGCTTTTTTGGCAGCTGCTGCACACGGCTGGCTCCTATTTAAATGGTTGTCCACTAGGACTCCAAGATCCCCCCTCACAGTTATCACCTATACTGTACCTGTGCACTTCGTTTTTCTTGCCTAACTGTAGAACCTTACTTTTTTCCCCATTGAATTTCATTTTGTTAGATAGCGCCCAATGTTCAAATAATAATTAATTGACTCATAATAAATAATTGATTTTGGGCCCGTGGGGTCTGTGGCGACCTGCCTTTTGGTACTGTACGCCTGCATCTCGACCTACGACCATGTGGGTTCCTGACTCATCATATATAAAATAGGCAGGTCGTAATCTCCAACCAAGGTCTTCCCTCCCTGTGAAACAATTTAACTCTGTCTACCGCATCCCAGTTACTTTAAATTCATCTCACATCTTCCGTCTCGTCTGAAGGTGAGAAGAGACCCCACCATTGTGATTACCTGGTGAATTATGTCTCTCATGAGGTCTGGGTCGGTCATACCGGCTAATTCCAGATGGATCGGGACGTCGGTGGGAATGTCAGAAATGGAAGTTACGGCCTGCAAAAACACACACATACACACACCAAACAATTCAGATCAGGAGAAACCAAAGGCATGTGGGAAGATAGCAGAGGGGGGAAATCATCAAATGGGGTCAGCTTCTTTCTGACTGAATGGCTCTTGCGTCAATGAGTGGCTGGGAAACATTCAAACGTATCTCCTTACAGAGCAAAAGAAAAGGTTGGATTCATCCTCCTAGACCAGGGGTCGCCAACCTGCGGCTCTGGAGCCGCATGTGGCTCTTTCATCCCTCTGCTATGGCTCCCTGTCGCTGGTCGGCTCCACAATTGATAGGGCTTTTGATTAGGACAGGTGGAGGAAAAAGAACACTGCGCTAGGAGGAGACTCTATGGTGGGGGGAACCGGACTTCTGGTCAGCAGAGGAAAAAGGACGCCACGCTAGGAGGACACTCTATGGTGGAGGAACCAGACTTCTGGTCATCAGAGGAAAAAGGACGCCATGCTAGGAGGAGACTCTATGGTGGGGAAAACAGACTTCCAGTCAGCAGAGAAAAAAGAATGCCGTGCTAGGAAGAGACTCCATGGTGGGGGAACCGGACTTCCGGTTCGCTCCAGAACTGAACGGGGGGCTTCCGGTTACGACCTTTGTGGCTCTTTGAGTGTTTAAGGTTGCCGACCTCTGTCCTAGACCATCATGCTGGATTCCCACTCCCATCATCTTCAGCATGGCAGTCAGGAGATGCGCCAAACTGGAAGATAATGGATTGGACCAGGAGTCGGCAGGCTTTATCCATAAAGGACCAGATCCTGTCCTTCCTCCATCTTTACGGGCACGGCTGACAGATCCCTGGGCCAAGGAGCATGGCAGCCATTGGACAGCATTGGTGCATCAGCGAGGAGGCAGCTGAGAGGCCCAGGATGCCCCATCCTGGCTCTCCCCTCACCTTAGGAGCTTGCTTGAGGCTCAGCCTTGTACCATCTGCTATCGGCCCAAATATTCCAACTCGTGGACCATATAAAAACCGGATGGGCGACAGTTGGCCTGCAAGCCTATCGTTTGCCAATCTCTGGACTGCAACATGTATCACTCCCAGCACCCTGACGATAAAAGCTACATCTGAAGTCCTTTTTAAGTAACCAAATATTTACGGGGAAATTTTGGAAAGAGAAAGGCAAAGCACTTCGGATCTCACCTCTCGGAGCCTCCTCTGGCGTAGCTCCCTGGTCTGACCTTCCATCATATGGAAGCCCGAAAGCACCACCAGATCTGGCTGAAATTCCTCCAGGCTGGATACAAAGACTTCTAGCATGTTCATGGCCCCGTTGGACAGGTCGTGGGAGAAGATGAATCGGTTGGCGTTGGGGGCTCTCAGCTCTCCCCATTCTTCACCTGATGAGCACATTCCACACACCCCCAAGACAAAAATCCCACATTACACAGAATCTTTGCATTCGCGACTCTGTAAACCCCTTAGAGAGGGCTGTAAAGCACTGTAAAGTGGTATATAACTCTAAGCGCTTTTGCTATTGATATAATCAATCTGTGATGTGATGACCAAACCTGAACCCAAGATCTAATGGTTAAGCAGTGGATTCGTGATGGTGTCCTGGTTACAACCAAGGTTGTTCATTGGACACATCCGTGCTGTGTTCCTCAACCTTGGTGACTGTTAAAACCTGGCTGTTCCGGCAGGCCTGGGGCTGTTGACCTTAGTGTTAAGGTCCAGCCCCGCTTAGAACGTATGTGTGTTGTGAACTTTAAACTATTTTTTACTTATTTTGCTTTTCTGTTTTCTTTCGTTGTAAGCCGCCCGGAGTCCCCCGGGATTGGGCGGCCTATAAATTTAATAAATGAAATGAAATGACTTGAAGACATGTGGACTTGAAGCTGGGCGCTTAAGTCTTCACATAGCCAAGGTAGTTAGTGATTATAATACATTAATAATGATACTCCTTTACGCTGTTCCACCAATGACCTTTTTTGGATCTTCAACAAGCACACACCTGCTTGGTATTCCAAAATAAGATGATATTCATCTAATTCTTGCAGTGATTCCGGAGGGACCATTACGTTCTCGTCAAGCAATTCGTGAAGCTTAGGCCCAATTGGGCCACAAAGTAGAACCTACAAGAAAAACAGAACGGCAATAACTTCCCGCAAACTAACTGCATTCTTTTCGGATTTCCCCATTTTTGATCCTGGTCATTTAGAGGCGATGGGCATGCTGGCAAAAACATTACCCTATTGATGAATTAAAAACAGGACCTAAAAATCCATCACGCATGTCTGCAGAGCTACATTTCTTCTTTCGGGGTTCTGTTGCTGAAGATCTAAATTTGGTGAGCAGACAGGTGTCACTGCCTGTATTATCGTAATACAGACAGGTACTATGATAGTACAGACACTAGGATAATACAGGTAAACTATACCGTGTTTCCCTGAAAATAGGACAGGCTCTTATTTTCGTTTGACCAACGAAATAAGCACTTGGCCTTATCTTCGGGGAGGGCTTATTATTTTTGTGGTGCAGGAGGCAGTGAACGTGGTCACCTCATGGCTGCTGCTGCGTTGCAATATTTTCGGGCAGGGCTTATTTTAGCGCATGAGCTCAAAAATCCGATTGGGCTTATCATCTGGGGAGGACTTATTTTCAGGGAAACTGTTGTGGCCCAGCAGGAGCCATTGGAGCTGCCACCAGACTCCGACAGTGAGGGGCCCTATGAGTCGGCNGCTTATCCTTGCTAGAAGATCTGCTGCCAACAAGGGTCAATTTTCATTTCGCTTTGAGCATCCCTGCCTGGACATCAAGGAGAGCAGAGCCATGCTTACGTCTTGGAACCGTTTCTCGAGCGTGGAGCGGATGTTGGTCTCGATGCTGGTTCGTTTTTTCCTCTTGCGCCCAAACATCTCGCTTACGGAGGGGTAGGAACTCGGACTGCTGACGGACGAGTCCAAGGGGGAGGATTCTGTGGGGAGGGGAGGGGAGAAGAGGCAAGCCAATTTTAATTTTATTTTTTATTTGCGATTCACTTGATGTCATTTTATTGGGAAGAGTCCCGTCGCTCCATCGGAGTGTGACAAAAGGGCAGATCTGAGTCTGTCATTGTGTATTTTTTCTGGACTGTTAAACATGATATTTCAGCAAGAGTCCTAAAGATGATGTTGGAAGAAATGCCCATCTGGGTGAGAGATGCTGAGAGTGACCTAGTTTTATGCCCTCTCTGGGTCCCACTGCAGAGCCTCCCGTTCCTGTGCAAGAAATGCACCCTGATTGGTGGTCAGACTCCCAGGGGCCGGGAGTCTTAGCTAACTTTATAGGCTGCCTGTCTTTTGAGTCCCAAGCTTGGTTGACTCTTGCTGAGTGACGATGTAATGAAAGGGCTTCGGGATGCCTATTATGGCTCTGCCTGAAGGAGGGAGATCTTTGTTATGTAGAGTAGACTGGCCTTAATGGCCCGTTGACAAAGGTTTCTTCCTTCCTTTTAGGGAAAATATTCTGTCCTTTTAATATTTCCTAAAATAACTCATTTTCCTAACTCCCTACAATTATGAACGTGGCCATCTTCTATGATTTTCTGGTTGGATATCACCCTATTCTTTTATTTTGTCTGAATGTGGGGACATAGAGTGCATTTTTCAACACACGTTTCTGAACCCTAGTAACTCATGATGTTCATCATAGTCACACAATCTAGTTTGACTTGAACACAACTACAAACCTTTCATTGTTCACCAGAAGACTTTGAGAATATTTAAGTGCATTGAATGGGCATGCGTTTTTAAGGCAGTTCTGTAGGGCATGGAAAATGTGCTTCCCTCCCCCCCCCAAAATAATTGAAAATATCCAATGAATAAAAGAGTTAGAAATAGAAGAAGGAAGAACATTTTTTTTCTCTTAAAGACCCTGTTATCCCTTTCACTGGGGTGGAGTTGGGGGCAACTGAATGGAGCTGAGCATTTGCTGGCTGGATGCCCTTCCTGATACTTACATGGAGCTCACAGCAAATATATTCTCTTTTGCGCCCAAAGTGAGAAATATCTGCCACTACCTAGAATTGAACTCTAAGCCATATTTGCTGTGAGCTCCACATAGGTGTCAGGAAGGGCATCCTTCTGGTAAACGCCGCTCTGAAGAAGGCAGAATGTCAGGCCTGCAGCCATCTTTTCTTTTGGGTCTTTGGCCTGCCACACTTTCTATGCATTTTATATGGTGGGAAAATGGGAGGGGGGATTGTAAGGAGTCACATACTATGTAGCCATAACAACATTCTTTCTAGAAAGCCAAGGTCATCCTTTGTCTCTGCACCTGGCCGGAACTGGATGGGTGGAACTGCCAGCATGGCAGTGGGAGATTGGACCATGGGACAGACTTGTGGATGTGGGGGCAAGATCTTGAACTTTCAACTAGGTGGGGAAAATCAGGAAGCTTTCAGATTTGGGTTTTCCCAGATGTGCCAACATGGCTTTCTTA